GTGAGAAGGCCCTGATCGCCAGCCAGGCCAAGGGACCCCCCACTGGTGCAAAAATTCGTGCACTGGGCTTCTAGTATTATTATATTATCAAGAAAGGTGATTTTTGTTCTCCTGTGTAAAATTGCCCATCTTCTCATTACTTCCAAATCTTTTTTTTTTTTTTTGCTTAATTTTTCTTCATGGGATATATCATTATTCAACATTAAAATATAATGTCCATGAAGACAGATACACTGCTAACCACATATTTGTTTTCTCCATTTTTTTGGGATAACCTAGCACATAAAAAAATTCCAGATAGATAGCAAAATTCAATAAATATTTTTGAATGAGTTAATAAATTAACAAATAAAAGATGAACTCAAACCATCTCCAATTTCTGCTAATGCAATTGACAGAGATATATTAAGTTATAGACAATGTGGGTTGAAGATATTCTTAGTCAAATAATACATCATTCTTGCTATCAAGAAACTTACATATTGGCTAGGAAAGCAAACTATTATAAAATACAATTATGGTCCAGTGAGGGAGAGAACCATGAGCACTATTGTACATACCTGACTGGGAATAGTTCGATTTATGTAATTGACTAACTGGAGCAGTTCAAATTCTGTACTTAAACCTAAGAGAATTAATTGTTAAGGTCTAAGGAACTTTTCTATATCATTCATTTATTCAAAAGATGCATGCCACAAAATGACAGCAGATTTGAAGAAATTTAATATTTCTCAGGAGTAAAAACAAAGTTTACAGTCATCCAGACTCTATTACAATTTAATATTTGGATGGAACATAAAGTTATTTAGTTATGATTAACTAGACTGACATTTCAATTATCATCCATAAGTAAAATATTCAGTGCACCTTTCAGAAGAGAAACAACTTTTCCTGAGGAGACAGGAAAATTTTTGCTCTTCAATGTAAGTTGTCTGTAGTTTTTAAATATGCAATTTTCTTACGTTTAAGAGATATAAAAAGTACAAATAGTACAGCATATCTGTTACTTTAAATTATGTTTATTGCCTTCTTCAACTTATCATGCCACTGGCTTATATTCAGTGTATTTTGGTGAGCATTTAAAACTTTTACACATTTTTTTTTTTTACTTTGAATAGATGCACAGATTTTAGAAAACAAAATATTTGCTGTCAAAATTTTGAAAACACAACGCAGACTGTGAGAAACATCCAGAAATAAAATATATTAAAATACATATATAAAGGTGCATGTATGTTTACAGTGTCCCTCGTTACCTACTCCAGCAATGTACAAAATGTTGGCATTTGAAATAGACTGTGTTACCTAAAGGCAGTGAACTGTAAATTAAATATACATATTACATTTATAAGTATATGAATACTTTTTTGATTTTCATCTATTTCAGTGTCAGTTCAATTAATTCATGAGCAAATATGTGAACTGTGCAATCAAAACGTGAGCCTAAGGCTAGACCTATGCAGAATAGTCACCCAATGGCACAGATTGGAGTGCTGAGTGCATGTTTTAAGAAGCCAATGAATTGGACAATCTGCTTCAGACAATAATTACTTTAAAGACCCGTTAGCAAACATCAGCAGAATTGGTTTGTAATTCAGCATGTCTCTTACTCTGAACATGGCCCCGAAAGGTTTTTGCACATGTCAGAATATCTACAAACAGAATTTGTCTCAGGGCGACTCTCCGAGATTAACATTTCCCTTACTGTCTCTGACCAGAATAATCCCTTTTATTGAACTACACACCTTAGTTTTCCTATCATGAACTGAAGATTAAAATCCAGTATTTTCTATTTGTTGCTTTCTTGTTTTGATCTCTAAATGAAACACCTTGAAAGACTATTTAAATAAACTAAGAAAATAGAAGGTTACAAATATAGCTCTTAGGGGTTATAGGAGTCAGTTAATTAAGGTTTATTGCAAAGATTTCTAATTATGAGAGTCACAGTCTTAAATCTAAAATCTTATTTATCCAACTAGAATCAGAATAATCAAGGAATGTTTCACACAACTACAGCTAAGTGGTTCTAAGTGATTTGGCAAACATTTTTTTTACATTTGTTTTATTGTAAACAGATAATAAACAATTAAGTCAAGGTTGTTTAATGTAGTTTCCTTAATATTTCTTAAATATGAGAAATGATTACATGGATGAAGAGGCAATTCAGGGTAAACTTCCTCTTTATCCTCATCCTTCGCACCGCATATATTGAGCAGTGAAAGCATAATTTACACAACTGTCTACATATTTTGGTATACAATATTTTATTTCCTTACTCATATGAGGGTCATCTCATGAACAATATTATTATGATGCTGATTTTCTTTTCCTTACTTGTGGCCCTGATAATATACCAGGATTTTCTAATAAATGCTGACTCTCTAATTTGTCTTGGCTAATTTGCAGACACCCATTAATTTCTCCAAAGTTTGATTTAAATCTCCAGTTCCTTCCTCAAATCCTTCTGTACCTCTGCAATAGACGAACTACTTACATGCTCTTGATACATTAGTTGTCAATGCTTCATCCCTCAACTGCTCAACCTTTCCTTGGTTCCTTCTACTTAAAATTCTTTCCCTTCTTCCAGCTTCATTTTGCCTAGTCACCTTCTAATCATCTCTTAGCACAGAACTTAATTTAAATGTTGTTTCCTCAGAAAGAGCAGCCCTTAACCTCTGGACCTGGAGAATATGTACTGTTCAAATATCCTTAGCTTCTCTCCTTCGTAGGAATAACCACATAATTGTGCTATTTACATAATTGTCAAGTTACTTATGTATTATCTGCCTCCCCACCAGAGGGTAAGGTTTATAAGAGCTCACTCACCATTGTTCATCTGTTGAACAAATTACAGGTGTATGAATAGCACATATTGCTTTTTAGTATAAAAACAATAATATGTAACCTATAGATAATGAAACAAATCATTTACTGTGGTCCCTCCAGTCTAATAAAATTGTAATGTGTTATCAAATAACTTTGAAAAAATGCCTCTCAGGCACTTCAAAGAGAATTTCCAAAGATAACCAAGTGAAATAATCAGAAAAACCTTCCTGTATCTGTAGCTATAAAAGTATTCTCTTCAAGGCTGGTATACTATGACAACAGCTGAAGTTTGGTTCTTGAACATTCCAGTTTCTATAAGCTCCTCTTTTACCCAACTAGGATCTGGCCTCTTTTGATATAAAAAGAACAACTGATACATCCACAGATGAATTGTTTCATAATGTTATCATTGCCTGGAGCCATTTGCATTTTTTCAAGATGTGAGTCTTTAATGTCAGAACTTCAGACACAAAGAGATAGGGGTTTCTTGGTGTTGCTAAAAAATTTGAATTGTTTCATAATGTTATCATTGCCTGGAGCATTTGCATTTTTTCAAGATGTGAGTCTCTAATGTCAGAACTTCAGACACAAAAAGATAGGGGCTTCTTGGTGTCGCTAAAAAATGATGACATGGAGATTGTCACTCATGCATGTAAGGCTGGTCATAATATTTAATTATGCGTGGCAATATTTTAGTTCAGTTTTGGACTTTTATACATTTTCCAAATAAAATTTAAAAATATGTTGATCCTTTTTATTACTAATAATACCTTAAAATAGCCAAATTACATTAGGAATAATCGCTCCTTAATATTCTTCAAGATAAATTTACTAGGGAAGGTTGCTTAACAATATTATCCTTTTAAAATATATAGTCTCAACATATAGATATTATAACTTATTCCATGCTTAATATACCTTCTGTTCTTACAGCAATATACTCTTAATGAATTCCCTAATTTTTGAAGTGATAATTTATATTCTATCTTTTGCTAAGTGGAAAAGTACATTAAACTTTCTTCTAATCCCAGAATGAAAGGCTGCTATTTGTATGTATAAAATTATGATGCATATTAACATACATATTTTATTTGTAGATATATTGTTTTTATACTAACACAATTATTTATACACTCTAGTTAAGAATAGTTATGCTGGGATATATTTTTTTAATTAGGTAGCAGCAAAGGAGCCTTAGAAATAATCTGCTAAAGCAGAGCAAAACAGAAGACCCTAATCTGTTTTATCCTGAAGGTACATTTGACAAGATTTTGTTGATATTATGGGAAAGAAGAAATAAGAATTCCATTTTGAACAACTGTAAAGCAACTTCTATGATGTAGAGCTATTTGTTAAATAAAGGGGAAAATTGCATAGTAAAGACAAAGATGGTGATTGTGTGATACTATCTGTCTTTGCTTTATTCGATGCATTTCTGAAGACATCAGCAATGTGAATTTATAGATAATATTTTGAATAAAATAGTCAATCATTTCAAATATGTTTTAGTAGAATATTAAAATTTCTTCCTGCACATTTTATAGGTTTAGCAATGTTTTTTTAAACCCCTTCCCCCAATAATTATAGATTTACATCTCTCTACTAATCACTAGTCCCCGGGCACTAATAAATTCTCCAATTGTGTTATTTTAAGAATGCAATACAAGTGAATCCTACAGTATGCCAACTTTTGAGATTGGCTTTTATACTCACCACTGTGCCCTTAAAGTTAATCCAAGAGCTTCTTGTATCAATAGTCTTTTAATTGCTTAGTTGTATTCCAACACTTTCAATATACTTTTATTTAAAATATCAATATATGTTGCTTTAAGTGCATGTTATGGTCTCAACTGCATCCTCCCAAAATTCATGTTTCAGTCCTAACCTTGGTACCTCAGAATGTCACCATATTTGGAGACAGGGTTTTTAAAGAGGTAATGAAGGTAAAATAAAATCACATTGTAGGCTTTTATCCAATACGACAATAACCTTATAAGAAGAAGAGATTAGGATACAGACACACACAGAGTAAAGACCATGTGAAGACACAGGGAGAAAATGGCTATCCACAAGCCAAGGAGACAGGCTTCAGAATGAGTTCAACCTTGCTGACACCTTGATCTCAGACTTCTAGTTTCCAGAACTGTGAGAAAATAAATTTCTGTTGTTCGAGCCCCTAGTCTATGGCATCTGTTATAACAGACCTAGAAGAATAAATACAGTGTATGAACACAGTTTTATCTTTATAAATTTGTTTCATATGTATATTCATATGCAACAATGCTTTCTTCCATAAGAGAATCATTTGTGTATCCACATAATTTATGAATGCTCCTCAAAGGGAATTTTTAAAATCTCTGAAGCTTTTCCTTTATTACTCTGCAATATATTATTATTATGGAAGAATTAAAGAGAATAGACACTTATATAAAAATTATAGGAGTATTTGCACCTAACTTCATTGCGGTAAAAATCTATAGCGTTATAAAGAGAACATTTAACTGAAAGCAACTGGATTTTTTAAAAAATATATAGTTTAGCTACTTTTTACAAACTGCACCTAAATAGCAGCATTTGGACATATTCTGGATTGTTTCCTATTTATTTTAGAGTAGATCATGGTTAAGTATGTTGACTAAAATCTTTTCACTATATAGGTATAATTATAATTAACATAAATTCTTACTATTTGCTTTATTTGATATGGAAAAGGGATAGCAGCATAACTGGGGCAACAAAATTTCTATTCATTTAATATTTTTTTATGTCTAACATTCATTAGTGATATCAACTGACACATTAAGATATATTGGATTATATAGGATTATATAAAAAAACATAAATATAAACAACAGAGAGAAGCACTGTATCCAATTAACATACTACTAAGAAGAAACATCAAAAATATCTTTCTGCACCTTAGGAAACAACAAGAAACAACAACCAGAAAATCGCCTCTGTAATGTATAGAGAATACAATTGCACTTTAGTAAATATAGGTCCACCAAGAATGTTATGCACCAGAAGGGAATTATGGGTCTGTTTTGAGAGAAGAGCAGTGGCACTTACCGTCTTGATCTGTGGTCACTGTAATGGCTGTGAATGGCTTGGGAGAAAAACTCAACTCAGAAACTCCATTCATGGCTTCTATTTCAAAGGTATAATTCACGTGAGACACAAAGTCAAGAACTATCACGGAATTGTTGATCAGGCCAGTATGTCTTGGGATGAAGCGGAGTCCTCCACCACAGTCCTCACACTGGCTGGTGTCTAAGCCACATTTCTTACAGATTACACTGTATGTGAGATCTTTTCTCCCTCCTGTGTCACTTGGTGGGCTCCATTCCAAAATAAGGGCTGTTTCATTGATGTTAAAAACCACATTCCTAGGAGCTGAAGGTGGCCCTAGAGAAAAGCAATTAAAAACAAATGTACATGTATAGGACAGTGAATTAATAGTGCTAACTTGAAAACTTCATCAATAAACACTTATTGGTCTTTTATATTAGTTTGAGCTCTTTCTTCTGATGGGAACCATAAAGAACCTATGGTTAATAACATCTGATTAAGTCCAGTAAGAAAGGAGTCTTTAGGAGTGAAGATAGTCTAGAACAGCCGTGGGCAAACTACGGCCCACGAGCCGGATCTGGCCCGTTTGAAATGAATAAAACTAAAAAAAAAAAAAAAAAAAAAAGACGGTACCCTTTTATGTAATGATGTTTACTTTGAATTTATATTAGTTCACACAAACACTCCATCCATGCTTTTGTTCCGGCCCTCCGGTCCAGTTTAAGAACCCATTGTGGCCCTCGAGTCAAAAAGTTTGCCCACCCCTGGTAGAATCTAATATGGCAATTCTATTTTTCTAAATTTGGGGATTGAAAATATATAATAATCAAACATTTTAAATTATGTGAAGGTTTTGATTACATCTTAATAATTACTTCACCATTTTCAAATAATTAAAAAGGAATATTATCATAAGTATAAGTTATAACAATACATGTATATTCATGTACTCAGCCCTTCAGTCTTCATACTATGCTTGATATGTAGATAAAACTACCATTCATTACCTTTGACAATCCCTAAGTATCTGTTTCTCACAGGTTGAAAATAAATGAGCATAAATTTAGGGTGAAAAGAAAGTTTGGAAGAAGAGGAAGAGAAAGAGAAACTGGAGACAGGAGAAAGGTTTCTATTAGAACCTTGTCAATTTCATGGGATAAAAGCATTATTTGGAAAAGAAAAAGGACATAAGAAATGGTGACTAGATTTTTATTGAGACTAACTTTATTAAGCACAAGTGTCTTCTGAAAAGCTGATAAAAAGACCTACAAAATCTCTTATTTGTCATCAAGACTCTGCATAAACCAAGTTGGTCCCAAGGAATAGGTGAGCATGTTCCCTCAGTGTTCCTTCTTAGTATTTTTCCATACTTAAATCCTTTAACTCTTCCAGCCTTTTCTTAAAGTTTTATCAATAATCTTTTACACTCATCTGAGTCTTTCAAACCTCAGTATAATATTATTTATTGAAAAATACTAACTGAAGTTCTACTAGGTGTCAAACATGCCATATGTGTTATATGTGAAATACCAAAGAATCCTTTTTTGTGAGATAATGCTTATAATATACTAGAGGCCTGGTGCACAAAATTTGTGCACGGGAGGAGGGTCCCCTCAGCCCAGCCTGCACGCTCTCCACTCCGGGACCCTTTGGGGGATGAACACAGTTTTATCTTTATAAATTTAAAGATAAAGTCACTGGGTGACTGTGTATTGGGTTTGAGATATAAGAAGTGTTATATATTTTCTTATTTATTTATTTATTTTGGTTAATCCTCACCTGAAAATATCCTGGGGATCGGGCCTAAACCAGCAGTTGGACATCCCTCTCACAATCTTGGACTTCTGGCTCCTAATCGCTCACCTGCCTGCCTGCCTTTAATTGGCATATTACCTCTTTATTATATAGAATATGGGGGGTCCCACACCTGGCCTTGCCGTGTGCCTGCCTCCAGAGTTCCCCAGTCCCCTCAGCCCCCCAGCCATCCAGGGCCGGCCCTAGGCACAGGCAAGCCTTGGATGTTGGCTGCCCAGCCACCCAGGGCCGCCCGAGGCTCAGGTAACCAGGGCCGGCCGAGGTTTGCACTGCCGGAAGTGGCAGCAGCAGAGGTGTGATGGGGGGGCGTCGCCTTCTCCTGATCACTGGGTTGCCTCCCACCCCTGAGGGCTGCCAGACCGTGAGAGGGGGCAGGCCGGGCTGAGGGACCCCCCGCTCCAGTGCATGAATTTTCCTAGTAATAAAATAATTCTTGACTTTTCCTGTCTGACTTATCTTACTTAGCATGATATTCTCAAGATCCATCCATGTTGCAAATGGAAGTATTTCACCTTTTCTTATGGCTGAGTAGTTTCCCATTTTATATATGTACCACATCTTCTTTATCCAATCACCTTTGAAGAATACTTTGGTTCCTTCCATGTCTT